CCCACCCATCCACCCACCCACTCACCCTCCCATCCACCCACCCAGTCACCCTCCCACCCACTCACCCTCCCATCCATCCTTCCATTATCCATCCGGCTGCCCTTCCACACACCCACCGAGTGACCACAGCGGGAGTCGAGGTTCCCTCCTAACCTGCAGTCCTTGCAGAAGGAGCGGTGGCGGTGTTAGCGATGGGACACTTGACTTTCCTCCCAGGGAAGCTCCGTTCTGCTGGAATATGATGCCGTACAGAGTGGCACCTCCCCGGGAGCCCCGTGGGTGCCCCCTTTGTCTCTCGGCTTCCGTTGCCTCGTACTCGGATGCTCAGGACGTTTTGCAACGGCTTCCCTGCTCCACACTGCGGTGGGCCCAGCTCTCTCTGGTCTGGGAGGGCCGGAGCGAGCGTGCGGCCTGGGGGGCCTGACGCTGGCGCTCTGCCCGCTTCCCAGCAGCCTCTGCAGCGTCCCAGGCCGGTGGGGACTGACGGGTGGGGTGGGCTGCCCTGTCCCAGACCCGCTGGCAGGAGCGCTGTCTGCTGTGGCTCCTGGTGCCGCCCCGCAGTCAGCCTGGGACGCGGCCCAGCTGTGACTCGGAAAAGTACTGGCAACTCGAGTCCACAGCTCCCAGGCCAGCTGAGCTCCACATCTTCAAAAGCTCATTGTCCCCGAAATAGGATTTCCAGGACGAGTCCCCAGGTGAGAGTCCGGGGGCGCCTTTCCCTGCGGGGCCGTGTGCTGCGCTCAGAACGCCGACCCACCCGGTTCACTGTCCTCGCCAAACGAGCCTAGAAAAACATGAAGGTTACTGTCTCATCGACTTCCTGTCTGCACCGCTCTGTGTGCGGGTGTCGCCACGGTTTATAATGACAGTTGAAATGCAGGATAAAAAGTTCGCGAGGACCGATGCAGGTTTAGCCTGGAAGGAAGGCAGGGGCGTTCCCTCGGCTGGCGACTGGAGCCTGTTTCATTCCGGTAACCAGGGCCTGGATGCCCTGGTGGCAGCAGCCGTGAGAATGTCAGCCCACAGTGGGTCGGCCTCGCCTTGCGCACGCCCTGAGCAGGAGGGCGGGGCAGGCCCGACTCTGACCTGACCCATCACTGTGACCTTCAGCCACTGCCAGGCACCCCACGGCCTCAAGCTTTTAAGGCAACTCGACCCCCTGTCACCGTCAGATCTACTGCGGAGCCCTCCATCCGAGAGGAGCAGGGCGCCTGCTCAGGGTCGGAGCTGCGTTCCCATCAGCCTCGCTGTGAGATTGGTGTGGGGCTGGGTGCCCGCTGCATGGGGGGTCGCTCCCCGTGTGAACCCAGCCTTCCGTCCTCTCTGTCTGGCCAGCGCCTGGGCTGGAGGAGGCCTGAGGGCCGTGCACGCTGACAGGGCAAGTGCCCGTGGGAATTTGGGCATTTAGACGCGCGCCAGCTGGGCCGATCTGAGATAATGGAGGTGGGTCAGACCTAACGAGCTGTTCATCCTGAACAGGGAGCCGGGCTCTGCGGTCGGTCGGGCCGGCCTGGCGAGTGGGCCTGTGTCCCCCGTGAGGAGGGTGACTGCTGGGCCAGGCCCACTGAAGGGACTGTCCCACCTCCACCCCGAACCCCTCAGGGTCCCCTCAGGACACACTCTGCAGACTTTGTCCCAGCACAAGTGCATGAGGAGTGTGACCCTCCCAGGCCCCCTCTGGGCCCAGCCTGACCCCTTTACCTGCACGTCCTTGCTCATCCGTCCTGGTTGTCATCAGGTATCACGTAGGGCAGCGACCTGCACGGACGCCAGCACTCGCCCGCGTTCTGACAGGCGCGCGCCGGTGGGCGTGTGTCCTCAGCGCGCAGGTCAGCTTGCCTGCTCTGGGGCCAGGTAAACAGTCCGGGGCCACATCTTGTTCTTGCTTTTCGTCCCCATGTTTTGAGATTCACCACGTTGCCTGTGGTGGTGACCTCGACTACCCATGACCTCTGGTGGGAAACAGGCTGATGGGAAGGAGCAGTGGGGAGCACGGGTGGGGGACCCTAAGGGGAGGGCAGCGCGGAGACCTGGTGGGTGGTTCTGCCTCCAGCCGGCGGATGGATCGTGTGCACGGGCCTGGAACGGCCCCTCCCCGTCCTGGTGGAGGCTCTGAGGAGTCCAGTGCTGGGCTGTGGTGCAGCCCCAGTGAGAGCCCGCGGCCCTGGGGGCGGGGAGGGGAGGTGAGAGCCTCACATGAGGGTCAGTACGACTGTGATCAGCAAGAACGCAGATGAGCTCAGTTCCATAAACAAGAGAGAAAGCGCAAGGGAGAACCCGGAAATAGGGGGTCCCGTCCGGGCCAGGGGCTTGTCCAGTACTTTCTGATCCTCTTCCATTAGTCACAGGGAGGACCCAGCCCCTGCTTGGCGGGCACGCAGGCCGGGGAGGAGGCACTTCCTGTGGAGAAGGGGGCTCAGGGCGCCCGTGTGACTGCTGGGGGACATGGGCGTCCTGCTGGGCCCTCGGCCGGAATGGGGACGAGGTAGGGAAACAACTGGTTGCTGATGGAGCCTCCTGCTGTGGCCGGAGGTTGTGGGCCTCCGGGCTGTCCTCCCGGAGAGACCCGCCTTCCTGCAGTCTCAGGTGCCTCCTGCGCTGTGCCGCTCCAGGCCCCGTGGCACCCCCACTCCTGCGTGGGGGCGGGGATGAGTGCTAGTCCAGTCGGCAGGCAGAGGCCGGACTACTGAGAGCCAGAGGTGCAGAGCCTCGCCTTGGTCCTCCCCCTGGTGTCTGGTGGTTCGACATAATCTTATGGTCTCAGCTACAGGGTGGGCAAAAGTAGGTTCACAGGTGTCTGTGCGGAAAATAATGCAGTAATTTGATCAATAATAACACCAGAATACACTTCTGCGCACGGACAGCTGGGAGCCGCCCGCCCTGCACTTAGCGGTTTTAGTAGTGACTTTCCCAGGTGGTGCGGGCGTGAACGCTGGACTAGCTGCTAAGACCTCACGTGACTCTGCTACCAGAGTGACTGGAATGGTCTTCCTAGTATGTGTTTTGGTGGTAAACTCGTGATGTGCGCACCGCCTGTGCACTGGTGTGAGGGCAGGACGGACGGACGGACGGTGGTGTCGGGCTGTGCTGATGCGTTCGACCTGCTTGCTGTTCTGGGGGACTTCGTCTTGTAGGGAATAAGCTATGGTCACTCAGGCCCATAGAGAGGAAGGGAGAGGGAGAGAGAAATACCGATGTGAGAGCAAAACCAAACATGGATGGCTGCCTCCTGCACCCCCTGGGGGGACCGAGCCTGCGATCCGGGCGTGTGCTCTGACCGGGAACGGAACTGGCGACCTTTTGGTGCACAGATGACGCCCACACTGGCCAGGGCTGTGGTCACTCGGATTTTAAAATCCCCTGGGTGGTCACAGGTCTGATCTGATGGCATGTGTGTGCGTGTGCACGCGTGTGGTTTTGTGCACTTAGCAGGTGCATAGCTTGTGGACCCACCATGCAGACCTGTTCCGGCCATGCCCACCCGTCTCCATCTGTTAGAATGTCACCGCCGTGGGGTCAGCGCACCCGTGTTCTTTGAGATTGGCTTTCTCTCGGGGCAGTTCCCTGGGGTCCCTGGCCGCTCCCATTGCTGGGGGAAGGGGGTGCGTGGTGTGGGCCGCACCGGTGCGAGCCTGTTCCGTGTTCAGCTCTGAGTGCAGCTGCTGTGAACATGCCTGTACGTGTTTGTTCGTGAACGTCGGTGTTCATGCCCGGGGGTAAATGCCCACGGTCGCTTAAGCTTTACACGTTAAGCACATGGGAGTGAGGTCTCGGGTGTTGAAATTCCTAGGACAGGGCCCTCCGTCTGCAGGGCTGGCATGGGGGGGCGGGTGTTGGTATTTTTAAAAAGGTTAAATCCAATAATTTGCAAATTTGGAAGATTCTAACCCTCATGAACAACTCGAATGAGTTATTTGAAGGAAAGACATTGAGCTACTTGACAAAGTTGGGAAGAGAAAACCTAAGGCAGCATGGGTGCCTCTTCTAGAAAGGGGGGCCCTGGTGGGAGGCGCCCACCCACGGTGCTCGGCTTTGTGACCCCCACATGTCAGCTGAGAGCGCTGGTGGCCGGCGGTGCCACCCTGAGCACCCAGGCCCTGCAGCCAGCCTTCTGGGAGCCCAGGGGGACCTGCCCGCAGCGTGTCCCTGCTGACAGCCCAGATGGCCCCAGGGCCCTGGAGAGGAGCCTGGCGGAGGCCCGCTCACCCGAAGGTGACGGTCCTCCAGGTCTCCGGCCCGCACGCGGGACTCTGAGGGCGCGCAGCAGCGCCTCCTGCCTGCGGGGTTCGCTGCACCTCTTCGCGGGGCTGTTTGCGGGTTGGGGTGAGGCGCAGCCCAGGGGTTGTGCCTGCACCTGCAGCCCAGCTCCTTAGCGTGAGCCTCCGTTTCTGGTCCGTTGCCTGTGCGGGTGGAGACGGCTGTGCGGGGTTAGAGGCTGTGGTTTGCGCGCACGCAGAGCTCCGAGTGGCTGTGCGTGACTTACACGCGCTTCGGCGCTCGGGTCTCCGCTCCGCCCAGGCCGGCTGACCGCGAGGGGCCCTGGACGGTGCTCAGGGCGTCCTCGTCCTCTTGTCCCTGCAGGACACGGACGCGATGTTCGACGCGATGTTCGCCCGCGGGCTGAAGAGAAAGTGCGCCGATGGCGAGGACAGCCCCCCGGCCCCGCCCGCCGGCAGCCTGCAGCGCCAGTCGCTCCTGGACATGTCGCTGGTGAAGCTGCAGCTGTGCCACATGCTGGCGGAGCCCAACCTCTGCCGCTCGGTGCTCATCGCCAACACGGTCCGGCAGCTGCAGGAGGAGATGAGCCAGGACAGCACGTGGCAGGTGCCGGCGCCCGCGAGCGCGGGGCGGGGGCCGCTGGAGCGCCTCGTCTCCACCGAGATCCTGTGTCGGACCCCGTGGGAGCAGCAGGGGGGGCACTCTGCTGCCGACTCGGGGGCCAGCCCGGCGCCAGACCTCCTCTCCGAACCTCCGGGGGCCCTGAGTGCGCAGGCGCCGCGGAGCGCTCCCGGCTGCGCGTGGGAGGCGGCCAGCCCTCGGGAGAGCAGGGGCGGCTTCCAGAGGTCGCTGGACCAGATCTTCGAGACGCTGGACAGCAAGGCCCCCCGCGCGGCGGAAGGGCTGTTTGCGGACGTGGACGGGCCCTACTACGACCTGGACGCCGTGCTGACGGGCATGGTGGGCGCCAAGTCAGTCCCTGGCGACGGGTTCGAGACCTTGGCCTCCGCGGGCGCCCCGCCCCCTGGCGTCAGCTACAAGCGGGACCTGGGCGAGCTGGACCACGTGGTGGAGATCCTGGTGGAGACCTGAGCCTGTGCCCTCACTGCCCGCCGCCAGCAGCCCGGCAGCGCCGGCCGCAGGGACCCGGAGCAGCCCCGGCTGCCCCCTTCTGCCGGCGCTGGGCCTCACCAGCCCGACAGCCCCGAGGGTGTGGCCACCAGCGTCTGCCTTTCCTCGGTGAATTTTTAAAAATTGAGTTTTATATGTTTTGGGCAACATTTTGGCTTAAGATATATTTTGTAAACTTTTTATTATCTCTAGACTTTCTCAGCTATTTTCTTAAACGTATATTTTTTCTATAAACATCCTCTGCTGCTAATTAGAAGCGTCTGTAGCCTGAGCACCTGCAGTTGGTGTGTTTACTTTCTAAGGTTCCTTCTTCAGAGTCGCCCCCTCTGAGTCAGGGTCTCTGTAAACTCAGGAGGAACCGCCATGTGCTGCCAGGCCCTGCGGGCGCCGCCTCTGCTGAGGGAGCCAGCCCACCGTCAGCTGGTGGGAAGGAAGTGAGAGCCTGTAGGTTTGATGGATGGCTGTCCTGCATAATAAAAGGCTGATGGGCAAGTCCGCCGAATGGCAGAAGACTGATTGCTCTGATGCACACTGACCACCAGGGGGCAGACGCTCAATGCAGGAGCTGCCCCCTAGTGGTCAGTGCTCAGCCAGAAGCCAGACTTGTGAGGGAGCCTCTCCTGCTTCTGAGGCAGCGCTAAGGACCCCTCGGGGGATGTCCCACTGCCGGCTTAGGCTGAGGCTCACTCCCTGCCCGCAGGCGGACATCCCCGGAGGGGTCCTGGACTGCGAGAGGGCGCAGGCCGGGCTGAGGGCCCCCCATCCCCCAGTGCACGAATGTCACACACCAGGCCTCTAGTTTATATATAAATGTTCTTGGGGGCAAAGGTCAGATTGCTGTCTGGCCCTCGTGGATCTTCAGACACCTAAGGGGTCTCTGGTGCCCCCCGAGGACCCAGCACCAGCCACGGCACAAAGGCCTGTGCACACGCTTGCTGTTGGCAGGCTGGGGCCTGCCTGCGCCTGCTGTGGGAACTGCTGGGACCCGTGTCAAGGTCAGGTTATGTCCAGGGTTAAAGAAACGTGGACCCGGGTCTTGATGGCCCCTCGGTTTTGAGGGAGTTGGCGGTGGGGTTGGCCGGGGTGCCTGCCCGGGGCCCTGATGGACACCGCCTGCGCCACCTCGTCTTTCCCTCCAGCTCACAAGGGCGCTGCCCTCCCCACACGGTTCCTCTCCCTGCCCTTCACCAAAAAGGTTGGTTTAATTCTGGGCACGTGATGATTTCATGTCACTGCTGTCACCTCGCTTGATCAAAGATTACTCAGCGCAGTGTCCACGGCCTCCTGAGGCCTGTCTGCTGGCTCAGCTCCGGTGCCTCGTGGGTGGGGAGGAATTTCACTGGATGTCCAGGGGGCAGTGGGACCGCCTGGGCCAAGGACGAGGGCGCCCCTGGAGCCGGCCCTGGAGGAGCCCGTCACGCTGGGCAGAGGGGCCTGGCAGGGCCAGCAGGTGTGGCCCTGAGCAGCCCGTTGCTCCCTTCAGGCTTTGATCCTCCCTCACGGTGGACAGTGGTTCCAGGTGTGTGTGTCCTAGAAGCAATAAACCAGCCTTTTGTGTCCACGGCATTTCTGTCTTCAGTATGTTCCGTTTAGAAGTAGCTGCGGGGCCCACCTTGCCAGCCTTCAGAGTATAAACATCAGAGTGGGCAGGGAGGCGGCAGGCCCGTGGCTTCGGGCTCAGGCCCTGGGGTCCCAGTTTGTGGGTTCAGGTTTGGACAGTGGGGAGGTGGGAATGGGTAAAGTGCGGCATCCAGCCTGAATCTTGGGGGGGGCAGCCGCAGCGGGGCCGGGAGCCCCCAGGCGTGAGCAGCGTGGTGGAAGGCAGCTCCAAACGCCGCCACCTCTGGCTGAAAGTGACGGCGGACACAGTTCCCAGGCCCCAGCCACAGCCTGTGGGGCGCCCTGTGGTCCCTGCCGCGCCCCCACCTGGGTCCGACGCCTGGGAAAGGGGCCTCAGACCCCAGGGGTGGGCGGGGCTGCTGGCGGCCCATACAGAGCAGTGAGTCAGTCAGAAGTTTTATTTAATACAATTTTATCAACTTCAGTGCTGACTGCTGCTCTGTGAGAGGGGTTTCCTCAGCTGGTAGCAGGGAAAGCTCGCCCTTTGGGTGCGGGGGATGCTGTGGGGACACGGGTGCCCGGGGCAGCGGCACAGGCCGTTGGGTCTGGGTTCCTCAGAGCCCCCAGGGGCCGGCCGCACTTCCTCGGGCAGAGGCCCTGGGTGCCACCTCGTTCATGGGGTCCCTGGTGCCCCTTGGTGAGCCTCCATCTAACCTGATCCGAGGGCACAGGACGGGTCTCCCCAGCGGACTCCGGGCAACTGGCCTGGGACTTGGAGAACCCCACACAACAGCTCTGGGCTCCACCACCCACCCACCAGTGAGGCCGCACAGCACGCCCCTCGCAGCCGTCCCTGGAAGCCATGTCCCTCTCGGTCCCACAGACCGGACGCCTTGGGAGGGAGGCACCCTCAGGAGGGCGAGCACCCACAGGAGGGGGCACCCACAGGAGGGGGCACCCACAGGAGGGGGCACCCACAGGAGGGAGCACCCACAGGAGGGAGACACCCACAGGAGGGGGCTCCCACAGGAGGAGGCTCCCACAGGAGGGGGCTCCCACAGGAGGGGGCACCCACAGGAGGGCGAGCACCCACAGGAGGGTGAGCTCCCACAGGAGGGGGCACCCACAGGAGGGGGCACCCACTGGAGGGTGAGCACCCACAGGAGGGGGCTCCCACAGGAGGAGGCTCCCACAGGAGGGGGCACCCACTGGAGGGTGAGCACCCACAGGAGGGGGCTCCCACAGGAGGGCGAGTGCTCAGTGCCGGGGTTGTTTCCCAGTCACTCTGGCTTCCACACCCAAAGTAACTCGGACCTTCTGTCTCAGCCCGATGGGGCATTGGGGGGAGGAGGAATGTGGCTTCAAGAGGAGTGGCCGGCCCTGGCGGTTTGGCTCAGTGGGTAGAGCATCAGCCTGCGGACTGCAGGGTCCCGGGTTGCAGGCTTGATCCCCAGTAGGGGGCGTGCAGGAGGCGGCCGGTCCATGATTCTCATCATTGATGTTTCTATCTTGCTCTCCCTCTCCAAAATCAATAAAAAATATATTTATAAAAACAAAATAACATTAGTCCCAACTGCAGGCCCTTCCTACCATTTGTGCCCAGATCCAAGGCCTGTCTTTTCCTCTCTGCTCCTCCCTAAGCAGTGGCCTCGGCCGGAGTCGTCCTCCATTGCCTGCGGGACCCGCCATTCCAGAAAAGCAAACCTGAAAATACTCACAGCTGAGAAGGGGCTGGAACAGGAAAGAAACACCCAGCACACAGGAGGGACACGCAGGGGATGCCACCGCCCTCCCAGGACATAACTGGTCCCCACGAGGTTTGTGAAATGACTGCACGTCTCTGCTATCACATGGTCTTCGGGGAAACCACCTGTGTGGAAAGGGCTTGGGGACTCGTGAAGGACAGGCTCCCAGAAATGCTGGCACCCCTTCCACGCGTTAACGCTGTGGCACCCACCCACACAACGGACAGGCACTTTCCCGCTGAAGGCCTGAGGTCCGGGGGTGCGTCAGCGGGAGCGGGGGCGGGTGTAGAGGTGTGTGTGCGCGGTGTCTGCATCGCTTGCTGATTCTCGCAAACGTTGGCTGCATCAGTCAGCTGGAGTCCAGCCGGCTCAGCTCTGGTTGAGCACTGACCTGTGGACCAGGAGGTCGGTTCCATTCCCGGTCAGGGCACGTGCCCGGGTTGCGGGCTCTGTCCCAGGTGCGCGGCAATGATTCTCGTCTCTCTCTCCCCTCCCTTCCCCTCTGAAACCAATCTACACTAATAAAAGAGAAACATGGTAATTGGCGTACGACCGCTACCCTTCCCATTGGCTAATCAGCGTATCCTTATGCAAATTAACTGTCAGCCAAGATGGCGGCCGGCAGCCAGGCAGCTGGAAGCGAACATGAGGCTTGCTTGCTCCAGTGACTGCAGACTCCAAGGTTCCCCGCCTGACTTGCCGGCCTCTGAGCTGGCAGTTTGAAACATTCTAACAAATATAGGCCCGGATCTCAGAGCTGGAATTATACATTGTTTCGATTATAGAACCGAAACAAACCAGATACCTGCTCTCAGAGCTAGAGCCAGAGCTAAAGCTGGCCCAGAATAAAATTAAAAAAAGGAGCAGCTGGGAGCTTCAATCAACAACCGCCAGCCTGAAAGCAGCCCTCAGTCCCTCACCCAGACTGGCCAGGCACCCCAGTGGGGACCCCCACCCTGAAGGGTGTGTGACCAGCTGCAAACAGCCATCATCCCCTCATCCAGGCTGGCCAGGCACCCCAGTGGGGACCCCCACCCTGATCCAGGACACCCTTCAGGGCAAACCAGCCAGCCCCCAGGCCTCTATCCTATATAGTAAAAGGGTAATATGCCTCCCAGCACTGGGATCAGTGGAGCCGCGAAGCCTCCTGGCACCGGATCAGCATGACAGGGGCAGCGCGGCTGCGCCCCAACCCCCTGATCGGCCCTGCTCTGTGGGTGATAGAGGGCGGCGCCCCAACCCCCCCTCCCCCATGGGCCCTGCTCTGTGTGTGACAGGGTAGAGCCATAACCTCCCCATCGGCCCTGCCCTGAGTATGACAGTGGCGGCGCCCCAACCCTCTGATTGGCCCTGCTCTGTGGGTGATAGAGGGCGGCGCCCCAACCCCCCCCCCTCCACGGGCCCTGCTCTGTGTGTGACGGGGTAGAGCCATAACCTCCCCATCGGCCCTGCCCTGAGTGTAACAGTGGCGGCGCCCCAACCCCCTGATCGGCCCTGCTTTGTGGGTGATAGAGGGCGGTGCCCCAACCCCCTGATCCGCCCTGCTCTGTGTGTGACAGGGGGCGGTGCCCTAACTCCCCTATGGGCCCTACTCTGTGCATGACAGGGGGAAGCTCCTCAACCCCCTGATGGGCCCTGCTCTGTGCGTGACAGGGGGCAGCGCCCCAACCCCCTGATTGGCCCTGCTCTGTGCGTGACAGGGGGTGGCACGGCAACCTCCCCATCGACCCTGCCTTGAGTATGACAGGGGGCGGTGCCCCAACCCCCCAATCAGCCCCACCCTGAGCGTGACTGAGGGTGGCATCACAACCTCCCAATCCACCCTGCTCTGAGCATGACAGGGGGCGGTGCCCCAACTCCCCAATTAGCCCTGCTCTGAGCCCGACCAGGGGCTGCACCTAGGGATTGGGCCTGCCCTCTGCCACCCGGGAGCAGGCCTAAGCCAGCAGATCGTTATCTCCCGAGGGGTCCCAGACTGCGAGAGGGCACAGGCCGGGCTGAGGGACCCCCTGAGTGCACAAATTTTTGTGCACTGGGCCTCTAGTAAAAATATATTCAAACAAACAAAAACGGTGTGCGAGCCGAGCTGCCTGGGAGTGCGGACCTGGTCGGGGGCCCATCCCTAGAACCAGCCAGGACGTTTCTCTCCGGCCTCTCACTTCTGTGTTTGGGAAGAGATGGGGGAAAGAGGGCCGTGGGTGAAAGAGGAAGGCAGGAGGGTCAGAGGCAGCCACGGAACGCAAACCCAAACACGGTGGTCAGGTCGGGAGACGGGGTGGGGGCTCCGGCGCCCCCTCACGACACAGACTGGAGTGGGGCTTCTCGGGGGCTTTGCCATAAGCTCACTGGCGCTTCCCCAGGTGCCCTGAGCGGGTAGGTGGCAGTGGGGCTGGAGGGCGGACATGGCCAGAGCCGGGAGGAGTGGGCAGGGAGGCGGCCTCCCTTCTTCCCTGGCTCCAGAGGACGGGCAGGTGGCCACCAGGCAGGGGGCAGCGGCCAGAAAGCAGCAGACCCCTCCCTAGCCAGGCTTCGCTTCCCGCGTACTTGAGAAATACCTCGGAGGGGCGGTGACGGCGCCTGTCACCCAGGGTCCGCCTGGTGAGGTTGGTGGGAGCCACACTCCTGGGCAGAAGGGGCTCCGGGCGCGAGGTGCTGCGGCCCCTCCGGGTTCCCAGTGCTGAGAGCTGCTCAGACTTGGCTGAGGGTCCCCAGCCTTCAAGCTCCCCCAGGCGCTGTGTCCCCTGGGTCCAGGCCACCAGCGATGCGGGTGGAAAGCCCCGCACGGAGCCCGGGGATCCTGGCTTCCCCATCCGACCGAGGAGGGTGGGAGCGGGCCCTCACCCGCTGGGCTCGGGCACTGCCCTGGCCCCCAGGGCTCTCGCTTGCAGTGTTACAGAGAACCGGAATCAATCAGCAATGCTCAGAGTTGGAGTCACACTATTCCCCGCGGTGGGCTTAGAGGAGATGAATTCAAATCCTAAGCAGAGCTACAAGCAGAACTTCCCTTTTTATTAAAGGGCCAGCCCTCTGTGTGCCTAGCGGTTATCTCTGGTGGCCTTGGTAACTACACAGTTCCATCCGATTAAAAAATGCACCGGCCTGGCATTGAGAGTATGGGCGTATCTAGTCTCTGGCCTACAAGGTCAGACAGCTACGTCTACCTTCCTCATTACTCAAGCAGGCTAACGCAGGCTGGAAAGCAAAGTTATTATTATTATTTTTTAGACTAAGAGGCCGTCTAAAGAATAGCAGAGAATCCCA